CACACACACAAACAGAACACAAATTAAGGGTTAGCTCATCCGAATTTAAATGTGACTAAAAGCATGGCATACCTTGCCAATTAAGTGTAGCGAGGCAGGCCATCCAGATGAAATTGCAGTTTCTAAACTAGCTAGCTCGTTATCCTCCAAAAGTGCAGATACATAACTGTTTGACCCAGAAAATGGAAAACAGAGAAGAGTGTGACGAGGGAGATTAAGATAAGACAGCGCAAGAATGAAACATCATTACCAGGATACGTAACAATGAGAGCCACTTGCTACTATGTTCATAAAACAGTTCAATTACTGAAACATGTTGACTAGAGGTGCTGGACAAGGTGGGTTGCTCTGATGGTAAGCGTCCTCCACTTCCAACCAAGAGGTTGTGAGTTCGAGTCACCCCAAGAGCAAGGTGGGAGTTCTTGGAGGGAAGGATGCCGAGGGTCTATTGGAAACAGCCTCTCTACCCCAGGGTAGGGGTAAGGTCTGTGTACACACTACCCTCCCCAGACCCCACTAGTGGGATTATACTGGGTTGTTGTTGTTGTTGTTTGTTGACTAGAGGTGCTTCTGACTTCGCGCTAAGCACTCAGGAGTTAAGGAAAAGATGCTAACACTATTGAATAACATATTGAACTGAATCCAAACAAAGACAGAAAATATCAAAAGGTCAAAACATCTAAAGTTGTTCCAAGTGCTAGAGAAATAGATGACGTACCCCAATAAAGCATCAAACCACACATATATAGTCTGCTTAGGATCATTAGGAACCGCAATACCCCAATCTACTGATGCTCGAGAAATAGAGAAATCTTTCAGGCCACTTTTAATCCAACCTTGGACCTTTAAATAGCCTATGTCAGTATTATTTCATATCAATTTGAAACGAAGTAAACATGTCATTTGAATTAAACAGGAATGACCAGAGTGTGAATTGAAACAGTAAATAAGACTAGTATATCAGAAAGCAGTCCCATTTAGCAAATGACAATAGAGCACGTGTCTATATTTCTAAGCATTATATTTAGCATCGAGGGATGCTACATAACCTGCCTACAGATTTCTTACAGCTGAAATGAAATTTTTTGCAGGATGAATATCTTTTGGTTTATTTAATAATAAAATTCATATCTTTTTTTTTTGTGATTAAAGAAATAATATGATTCATCTCTAGCGAACCTAGTTTAACTGAACTAATGTCATATCAATGAAAATTGTGAATTTTCACCTCTAGGTAAATTGATTGATGCTTTGGACAGGAAGGCACAGCTAACTATATTCGGCTAGTGACCATATCATTTATGAGAAGTGAGAGCAAATTACAGGAATGAGATATTCTCCGAACATAGATAATGTTTACGTATTTCGCCGAAGCCAATCTGATATGAATCTCTTCTAGCTTCCTCCAGGTGATATTACGAACCAATAAGGTACAGATCGTAAAATTCTAAACCAAATATATATTTCTGATCAGCTTACCTCATTTAGACGATAAGATGGCTGCACGAAACCAGGGTTTTGCCTTAAAATTTCTTCCAACTGTTGTTGATACTTTGACAAAGCAAAGAAGTAATTATCTTCTTTTCTTCTCACACATGGCTTTAAGTGTGTAGGACAACAGTTATTATCCAGCAAATCCTTCTCGTCCTGCAACTCTTCCAATGTTACAAATGGACTGCCCAATAATAAACAAACTAGATTTAGCCATGCATAAATGCCATAGCGCATGTGCTTAGTTGGATATTCAATAATATGAGTTGTTTGAGTTATAGGACATTTTTATTATGCCATGCATCCTTTTATCTTATCTCAACTATACACAAACATTGGACTATCTATATACTATTAAATAAGAGGCAGTGTTGCAATCAATCACCATGAAATTGCTAGAAAAAGTAAAAGATGGAAAATGATTTCTATTTTATATTATAATCCAAAACTTTATTGTTAAAAGGCACTGACGCAGTGCCGGAAAGAGATGACATTTGTGAGGCTCAGGGCCTGCAGCACATTAAGCCAAGCCTCAATGCACAGTGGAATAGGGCTCAAAGTCACATGGAAGTCATTCAAAACCGCGTAGTCAGGGTTACTATCTTCCACCATGAATGCAAATTCATATGAAAGAACAAATGATTCAAATGCCTCGTGCCTAGAATGACTACTGAGACATGGGAAAATGTTGTAAAATTTTATGATCCTGTATAGTAGATTATGCGGACAAGCACATCATATGAAGGGAAGGGACAAGATTTAATCAAAACGAATAACAATTGAGTCCTCACCTTGTACTCCTCACAATTGACACAATAAAGTCCCTCATAATCAGCCCTGTATATGTCGCCATTGGCAAGAACCCGAGAGTAAAATTCCTTCACAACAGCTTCATGTTTTGGATCAGTTGTTCTGATAAACTTGTCATAACTTATGTCAAACTGCAGTAACAATTAAATAAATATAAAGCATTGTTCTGCCTACCCACCCAATCAAAAAACAGCGTTCCTGATAATATCCTTAAGAGCAAAAATTAGATGAATAAGCACTACTTGAAGAATATACATCTTTCCATAGAGCTTTATAAGCTTGTGATACAATATCGCAGTGTTCACTTGGGCTGGAACCATTAGCTGCAGCTGCAGTAGCAATCTTCTCTCCGTGTTCATCTGTGCCTGTGATGAATATAACTTTCTTCTCAAGTAGCCTCTGCAAGAAAAGGAACTCTGTAACCATCAGCCTATAAAAACTGCACACTAGGAAATACTTAGAGGAGGCTCATATTTTTATTATTATGTTTAAAAGCTAAAACCATATCATGTGGCAATCTATTAAGGGAGGCACTTTTTCTTCAAATTTTCTATACTTTGGCCTCCTGCACCCGCTCCGGGGTGGGAGACGGAGGTGTGCTATATAGTTTTTTCCTTCTTCTTTCTAAGTGATGTCTTTTTCCGTCGCTTCTAGATTTCATACTAGGACTACAAACACTAAAATCTGCTACTACACATAAAGCCTAGACTAGTTTGGGGTCGACACATGAATCCACTCCATTTGCTCATTACATACTACGATTACCAATCCACAATAAGTAAATTTGATCTCATAAGTTAAAGGGGATTTAGTTCGGGGTCGACGCATTTGATTATTTTACAGACTCGGGAATCATATCATAACCACAAGGAAGTTTTATACAAAAGTGAAAAAGGAGGCTCCAATTACCATCTATGCCTATCAAACTAAGTATGCGAAAGAGTTCATTCCTCTCAAATACATATTATAATTGGCCACCAAAAACATTAGAGATGGCTAAGCTCATCTATGTCACCATCCCCATACTAATTGTGATGAGATAACACTATAAAAGAGGCTATAATGCTACTGACAATTTTTAAAACTAGAGATTCTCTAAATCTCACACTTCTCCCTGTAGTGGCATACAAGCCTATAACCAACCTAAAAACAACTCCATAAAATTACACTTTAAAATATTGCATAATATTTAAACATAAAGGTCAAATCTTTGAGGACCTAGAATTACAATTTTAAAAAGGGTATAACCTGAAAACGGGCAATGGCATCAGCAGCAATGGTGGTATAAGCACTGCCCATATGAGGAGGGGCATTAACGTAATAAAGTGGAGTTGTGAGTACAAATGCATCACTCCCATTTGTAAAAAGACTATCTTTACCACTGTTACTGCTGCTGCTGCTGCTGCAAGTGCAGTAAAGTGCAGTTCTTGAAGAAGAAGAAGGAGATGAAAACAAAGTTTTACCAAAGTTAATTCGACTCTTGAAATAGGACTTTCTTATATTTAAAGAATTGCGCAAAGGGGTTGAAGATAAGAAATATAGACTGTTATGAATGGAGTGTTGAACTCTGCACGCCATTTTTTTAGTTAAATTGAATGACTGCGTGGAGTATACTGGATATCGGGGATTTTGAGATTGAGTTCAATAAGGTATAGGGGATGAAATTAGACTGTTTTTTACAGCTTTCATTTGGGGTATGCTTAAGTTTTTCCGTAATGCCCCGTAAAACAGTTATACACTCATATTATGTATTAAAAAAGAGTTGGATAATCAACTTTTTAAAAATAGTTTGAGTGTGGATAAGAATAATATTATCCACTTATAAAATGGTTAATCAAATGGATAATCAATTACATTTGTAAATCCTTAAATTGGAGGTTCCTCAAGTTTGAGAGACTAGAAATTCACCCATAAGTGATCATATTCAAGAAGTCATGGATATTCATATTATCCGCCGGATAACCCGTTTTTATCCTTCTCAAATACAGATCGGATCGAATAATTTATTCATCTTTTGAATTACCCGTTTTCGACCCGCGAATATCCGACTCGACCCGCCCGATTGCGACCCTTAGTGGAGAGTAATGAGATGAGGCAACTAAGGTTTAAGACTAGGGATTGACTCGACCATTTCCGCACCTTCTATCCTCTACAGTCAACATTAAGGGGGAAACAAATATTATAAGTTACATTTGATATTATTTCATTAAATTTTGTTTTACATAGATTTGTGTCACAACCCAAAAAAAAATTCGTACGATATCGTAATGGCACTTACTAATGCGAAATATAACTGAATATAAAATAAAATTTAATCCTTAACAGTCGAATAAATAAGAACTGCAATTTAACAATTTCAACTCCCAAAACCCGGTAGGAATAAGTCACAAGTTTCTAAGAATTTATCCCAGTATCTTTATACATCAGAGTCTAAAGAAAATAAGAAAAATGACATAATAAGAATAGGAGGGGACTCCGGGGTTTGCGGACGCTGGCAGATGTACCTTGAAGTCTCCGTGTACAGTCTAATTCATTGATGCCTGGTCTGATAGGAAGTACCTGGATATGCACAAAAAGATGTGCAAAAGTGTAGTGTGAGTACATCACATCGGTACCCAATAAGTGTCAAGCTAACCTCTGTAGAGTAGTGACGAGGTCAGGTCAGGGCCCTACTGAAAATAATAAAAGACATGGCGAACAGTTTAATAATATAATAATAATAATAATAATGACAATGGGGATGAATCAAGTAAGTAGTATGTCATCATTTAACTACACAGAATAAGGGCAAACAATACCTCGTGGAAGGAAAAACAGAAATTTACAACTTTAAGGAAATTCACCAAAATCACCAAAGGCAATGCAGCCATAAAGAAATATCAACAAGGGAACTCCCGAGGTACTGCCTCGTAGTCCCAAATCATAAATAAATTCACAATATTTTATTTTCTTATATCACCGCGGGAGCCTTCACATTAAATTTTAAAGAAAATATTTTTCCCGAAATAGCATCACGCGTTTTAGCCACCCTTATCACATCGCATGGTATCCAGTAGTTCCCATACTAGCCACGCGTTTCAAGCCACCCTTATCTCACCGCATGTATTTCAACACCCAGACCTTATACCACCGCATGCGTATCAATATCACAATTTACACCTCAAGTACCCAAATATTTCAACTTGCCAAAATAAATCAACAACAAGAATATTTTCTGTGATGACCCAGAATGTCATCTTTAAATTTAATAATTAATTATGTGTTCTAAGACCTCGAAAAATACTATTTATTATTCATCGACTTGCGTGCGCAATCCGTAAAATTTTATGGAAAGTTTTCATGTAAAAAAATAGATTAAAATGTGGATTAGAGCTTTAAAACTCAATTGAGTTGACTTTGGTCAACATTTTGAGCAAACGGACTCGGATCAGTATTTTGATAGTTCCGGTAGGTCCGTATCGTGATTTGAGATTTGGTCGTATGTCCGAAATCAAATTCCGAGGTCCCTAGTGCGAGATATGGAATTTTGATGAAAAATTAAAATGTTTAAGTTTAAATAGTGACCGGATGTCTAATTATGTGAAACGACCCCGGAATAGAATTTGATGATTCCAACAACTCCATATGGTTATTTTGGACTTAGTAGCGTGTTCGAAATTTTATTTGGAAGTCCGTAGTTAAATTAGACTTGAAATGGTTAAAAACAAGAATTTAAGTTTGCAAGTTTGACCGAGGAGTTGACTTTTTGATACCGGAGTCGGAATCAAGTTCCGAAATTTTTCATAACTCAGTTATATCATTTATGACTGGTGTGTAAAATTTAAGGTTAATCGGAGTTGATTTGATAGGTTTCGACATCAAATGTAGGAGTTGGAAATTTTAAGTTTCATTAAGCTTGAATGAGAGCATAATTCTTGATTTTAGCGTCGTTTTATGTGATTTGAGGTTTTAAATAAATTCGTATGATATTTTAGGACTTGTTTGTATATTTGGTTGAGGTCCGGAGGGCCTCGGGTGAGTTTCGGATGGTTAACGGATCAAAAGTTGGACTTAAAACAGCTCCTGTAATTTTTCCTTTCTACTGGAAATTCTGGCCCAAGATCGAGGCCCAAAATTGAGCTCCAAATATCGAGCTCCCAAAAATCGAGCTCCCAAAATCGAAGCCGAAGATCGAAGCCGAGGATCGAGGCTGAGGATCGAGGGTTGCCTGGGCAGAATTATAAAAGAGAGCATTCGCCCCATTCGCCATTTTTAACAAATTGGAGCTTGAGTAGAGGCGATTTTTGATAGATTTTCAAGGAAAAGACATTGGGGTAAGTGATTCTAACTTGGATTTGGTCTATAAATATAAATATATCATTGTTCTCATCATTTAATTAGTGTTTTGAGATTGAAATTTGGGAAATTTTTAGAAATTTCATAGAAACGAATTTTTGAGATTTCGATATTGATTCAGAGTCGGATTTGAGTGAAACTGGTATGGTCGGACTCGTAATTTAATGGGTTATCGAATTTCATAACTTTCACCGGATTTTGAGACGTGGACCCCACAGACGAATTTTTAATTAATTTCGGAATTTTTATTTAAAATATAGTATTTTCTTGTAGAATTGATTTCTATAATTTTTAGTGATTGTATCGAATTATTTTGGTTAGATTCGAGCCAGACAGAGTTGGATAATCGTGGAAAAGGCCTTTTAGTGGATTAAATTGAAGCAAGATGAGGTAAGTATCTTGTCTAATCTTGTGAGGGGGAAATTTACCCCATAGGTAATTAAATTAAATAATTGTTGCTAATTGCGGGGGCTACGTACACACGAGGTGACGAGAGTTCGTGCATAGCTACTATTAATACTAAAGTTCGGATAGTTTAGGACTCAAAGCATGAATTACTTGTGTAAATTGTATTCTTTATTAATTAAAATATTTGATGTATATATTGTGAATTGTTATGAAAGCTAGAAAAATATGAAATTTTCATATGCTTAATTTTTGTTTAAATTAATTAATTATTGAAATAAATTGTTATCCTCTCGAATAAATTTTACAATAAATACTCCTATTCCAGAGGTACATAAGAAAATGTCCTGCTTTCTTGTGGATCGGGCCGAACGCCTCGGCAGGATATATGCATCTATGGATCGTGCCGCACGTCCCTCGGCAGTGTACACGACACTCTGGATCAGGCCGTACGACCTCGGCAGAAATCGTGCTTAATAATAATAATAATTACACGATACTTTAACGGTTTATTGCAGCTTATAAAGTTATTTGATAAATTGAAAATTCATTAAAATTGAATTGTAGCTTGTAAAGCTATTTGATAAATTGGAATTTTTATTGAAATTGAAGGATTTAATATATATATTGAGAATTGTTGCATTTTGAAGGAATTTAATTATTTCTGCTGGTTAAATAAATTATGGTTATATTCTGTGAATCATGCTGATTTAAATATTCTAATTTTATTTTAATTATTATTATTGACCCATAGTGAGTGTCAAAGTCGGCCATCTCGTCTCTACCACTTCGAGATTAGGCTTGATACTTACTGGGTACACGTTGTTTACGTACTCATACTACACTTGCTGCACTTTTTGTACAGGATCTGAGACAGGTACTAGTGGAGGACCTATCATCACAAATCCACGTCATCCCGAGGCATAGTCGTGAGCTGCCTTTCTGAGCCGTTCTGTAACTACCAGTGTCTCTTCTTATATTTACATTCTGTCTATTTCATTTCAGACAGTATTTGGAGTTTTGTATAATCTAGTAGATGCTCATGCACTTGTGACATCGGGTCTTGGCACACACATTGGTAGAATTTGGTATTTTATTATTTTCTTGGATTAAAAGTTTAACCAATATACGTTTGATTTATCAGTTGGCTTACCTAGCTGTAGTGTTGGGCGCCATCACGACCTATATGTGAAATTGGATTTTGACAACATGGTATCAGAGCACTAGGTTCACGTAGGTCTCACAAGTTATGAGCAGGCCTAATAGAGTCTTGCGGATCGGTACGGAGACGTCTGTACTTATCTTCGAGAGGCTATAGGGTGTTAGGAAATTACCTTTCTTCATATTCCATCGTGCAATTAATGTAGTACTAAAAATCCTTCTCTTATTTTCTCATAGATGGTGAGAACGCGCTCGAATGAAGTTCCAGACCAGGGAAGAGCTACTCCCCCAGTTGCTAGAGGCCGAG